AAAGCAACAGCAACAGCAACAAAGATAACATCAACAGTTTACAATAGTCAGAATCAGATGAAGAGGAGCTGCAGCCGCGGCATTGTTAATGGCAATGGCCGCCGTGCGGTTGACCACAACAATAACCACAATATCAGCAGGAACTGCGGCCACAGCAGCAACAAACACAACACCAACAATCGCCACAGCAACTGCAGCCGCAGCAACTTCAACATCAGAAACGGCAACAGCAACAAGATCAGCAGCTGCCCCCATCAACTTCGCAGCCGCTGCCGCTGCTACCGTCTCCGCAGCGGCATTAGCATTAGAAACAGCAACATTGGCAGCGGTACCAACAGCAGCGGCGACCGCCAGCGGACCGGAGGCCTTGCAGCAGCAGCAGCTACAACATCAACCGGAGCAGAAGGAGATGGAGCAACAACTGGCAGATTGGTGGCGGACTGGGAATAAGTGTGTTTTGACCGAACAGAAACAGAACAGCATAAACGGAAATAATTTAATAATAATTACTGAAAAATTATGTAAGCATTAAACATTAAAAGCTAGACAGCTACCAACAACAGCATCAACATAATAAGTTTAAATACAAAGAAAACAAAACTACAAATAAAAATCAGCTGGAAAAATTATTATTATTATTATATTATATTTAAAGAACCGGAAAAATAAAAATTGCAAAAATTCAATTTGTCATCCAAGCGCTAAGTGGAGGAACGTAGGACATTTAGCCACATTTTCGCCCTCTTTCACTCAATATGTTTGTAATGAATGCGGTTTAACAAATATACGGTTTTATATTTTTATTCTGTTGCCCAAATTAGTTTTGGTAATTAAAAACATTTTTTACAGTTATAACTTTACAATTTTTTATGTAATTGAATTTGCTGTCTTACATTTATTTTTTTAATAGGGTAAAGTTTATGAAATCTTTCGTTTTTTTCGAGTTGGTTTGACCAACTTTATGTAAATTATTAATATTTAGTTTAAAGTTGCAAATATTATTGAACTACTAAATAGATGCTGCTGCTGTTCATTGTTTAGAAGGTATATGTTTAATTTGTTTTTAAAGCTCAAAAATGGTATTAACACTAAAAAATCAGCAGCTATTCAGATATTTTGATTAATTACCTTGCCGTAAAGATATGATGGGTTGCTTGATAATTTTTGTTAGGCCATCTGCCAGTAAGGCTTATTTAGATATATATTTTTACTGTGCAACAACTTTTTAATTGGACAGCATCGCATCGTGTGGACTTTGAAATGAGTCGCTAACAGCTTTTGTTGCGATCTCAGCTATCTTATGGCCACGACAATGCCAAGTGATAGCTTTCTTAGGTTAATAATTAAACTTTTTAATGGTTTTTGTGGGGTTGAGAGAGTTTAATGATGCTAAAGGCAAGCAAATTTCTAAACTCGGTCAATGCGAAGGGCATTTGCTAAGAGAGCTGAAGGTTAAGGGAAAATGTATAAATTATTTACAAAGACCATGGAAGAAATACAAATATTCAGTGAACGTAGGCAAGTAAAAGAGAATGGTGGAGAGGTAAAAACATAGCAAAAGAATTCTCTTTATGAAAATTTGCACAATATCTTATAAATTAAAATATTAATTCAGAATAATATCCGTGGCTCTTAAAGATTTTTATCAGTTCAACTTTCTTGTCAAATTTATGAACACCTCTTTGAAGAGCAGTGACAAAAAAAATTTAAATATTCAGGAAGTGCTTTTGAAGTTCCAGTGTAAAATCTCCGATGGCGGCAACAGCATGCTAAATTGGCATTTAATGATTAAATTATAATCAATTCAAATACTGTATAAAAAAAGAACCATGCTCTGCTCGCTGAGATCAAAGTTTCGTCGAGCTTTTGCCAAGATCACTCTCTTTGGAGCCCGTTCTCTTCTCTTTGGGGGTCTCTTCGATCTCTTTTCTTCAAGCAAGCACACTTGGGTATGTGAACATTTTCAGTTGATATTTTGCCGCGCTGCGAGAGGTTGTTCGCGAGAACTTTTCTGCTCGAAGTGAAATTCCAATCCCTACTCCGTGTGCGGTCGAGTTAAACTAAAGTAAATCAAAATCAATTGAAGGTTATCTGGACCCTTGTGGTTGCCAATTAGCAACTGCAATCGTTGGGGTTGGGACACGTGCTGCGAAAGCTGCCGTTGGGCGATTGACCTGGAAATTTTAGAAATTTTGGTTATGCAAACGGTTTTGTGAGAGAAATGTGTGCTATAAATGAAAAAAACTCAAAACTGCACTCGTGGAAACAGACGCTTTTTACTAACCACACCGAAAAAAATTTTAAGAACGATTGGTTAAATAAAATGGGAATGAAATGCTTCATATTAGTGAGATATTTTCTTAGGAAAAAATTTGTACATTCACTTTGCAATCAGTGAAAATAAACTTTGTTTTCTGAATTCTTTATAAAGTTCACCATCATCAACAAAGTTCGACTCAAATTTTTCTCTCAATATAGTACAGTAAAAATAGTTCACTTTTGAGACCTTTTTTAAGAAAGGTTTCTTACAGATATAATCGATTAAGCTTTGGCGAAAGCACAGCGATAAAGAGTGGCATAAAGAGAGGCTACAGAGAGAGCGATGCACGCTTTCTTTGTTGACTCCAACATGGCAACACGCTCCCCACTTGGCACCATTCAGGCTGTCTTTTGTTTAGAAGCTCGATGGGATTTTCGCACTCTTCTGCGAATTGGGGACGGGGTGGATAACATGCCGGCCGCCAACTGGCGATCAGAGTTTAAATATTTAGACGGACACAAGATATCTAACCGGTCCGAATTTCTGTAAATTATATCAGGCCCCCAAGTCGCCATGAGTCCCCGACCACGAGATATCCTGGATGAAAATGATCTTGAGGTTGAAACGTCCACCTGCTACCTCCGAAAATCTGGGATGGATTCAGCAGACAAAAGTTGGGTAAGTCAGATTGTGCTTTCTGATAAAAAAGAAACGGTGGACAAAACACTTTAAGGGTAGCGGTCTGGAATTGGCGGGGTCTTTGTACTTGTATAAAAGAGCACAAAATATAAATATTTATATTGAAGCAATCGATAGTGTTTTTGTCGCGCAAATTGCCAGCCAGTTCATGTGTCACTTAATAGACTTAGGTCAGTGTAAAAAAAAAACGTTCAAATTAACTTTAGTTCAGTTTAGTTTTGAGTTATAATTTTAAAATTTAAGCAAGAAAGAAAGCTATAGTCGAGATTACCGACTCTAAGATATCGGGTACTCAGCTAAAAAATATCAAACTAAATACTCCCCCCAGACTTTTGCGATTTGTGGCCACGTTTTAAAATAAACTTACGCTGCATAAGAATAACTTAAATCTGCATGTCAAATCCCAAATCACATTTAGCTTTTTTAGTTTTCGATGTCTTGACTCAACTAGATCGACTCAATTTACTTTACGATTTACTGCCGATATAAAAATTAAACTTCTTTAAATCAATACACATTTTTTAAAAAATATTTTCTTTTGTTTTGCTACGTGAATTTCATACCCAGAAACTAGTTTTACAAGATATTGAGGAAATAATCAATTATACAAAATTTAATTATGTATAAAACACTTTTTTAAAGTCTACAGAAATCTTTTTGTATCAATTAAACAATTATTTTAAAAAGTAATACTAATAGTTAGTTAGTTAGCCAACGTCGATTTCAAGCAAATAAACTTAAATTGATGTATTCACTTACAAGTTGCTGAAAATCCAATAAAAAAATAATATTATAAATTATTTCACCTTTTGGATTACTTTTTTTGTTTGATATTCTGTTTGTTAAGAGAGACCCGGAAATTGCAGTGCGTCAAATCGAGATGCGCTCCTGTTCTCGACGTCTGCCAAACGGCACGTGCATCGCATTGCATTCAAACCGCAGCGTTTAAACCCCAAAACATATAGCCGTAAGAAAAACTGAAGCGCTCGATTTAACCTTATACAAAAGTGACAGAGTGAGCGATTTTCGCCATGGCCCCAGGGCTAGCCCACTAGATCTCCGCCGAATGGAGCCAAGGTCAAGTTGGGCTTATTTGTAACCGATTAGAGCTTGCCACACCGATATCTTGTTATGCATTATGTTTACACATGCCCAAGGGGCCTTGCGAAAGTCCCCACGCGGAATTCCTGAACTTCGTCGAAAGACGAAACTGGTTTTTGGGCTCAATTTTCAGATATGTACATACGTTTTGGGTTTTTATTTACGTCTCCCCGCCAGCGATAAAAACAAATCATGCATCCGTGTACTGAGATCATGTAAACAATTAATGCGAATTCAAGAGAAAAGCTTTAGCTTTCAAAATTGTGCAATTTTTGTTTACAAAAGGGTTCTCATTGTGCGACCGATCATCAACTCGATTTGTTATATAACTAGGGGGCTTGTCTTTATTGAAAACATACATGGTACACTCACAAGAAATAATTGTACTTCCATTCCTACAAAATAAACATTTTAAAATGAAACAAAAATAAATATTTACATTTATTGGTTTGAACAGCATTTGAAAGGATTTAAAAAATAAATTATTTTTATTATATATAATCATAAACAATCAGGTGAATAATTAATAAGACACAAACTTAATTTTGTATAATTTTTTTTTTTATGTTTTTACAATATATATTGGCTTGTTTTAAAACTATATAGCTTTAAATATAGTTTTAAAATAGTACTTTCAAGTAGAAAAATCTGATTTAATATACTATTTTTTGAGTGTACTCGATAATCAACCTGACTTGACCAAAACAGGCCGCTTGCACAAGAAGCGAAAGCTCATCAGCCACGAAATTTCGCATAATTTCAGCATAACATATAAATGTCGGTAGAAAATATCTGCCTCTCCCCTAGAGAAATGATTGGTCAGCTTTTTTGGCTCAAAACATTCTGCAACCGATTTGGCGCTCTCGGCTGCTGCGAAACTATAGAAAGCTTCGCCACAAGCTTTTTCGATTCACTTCATTGGCCACATTGGATATCGGGGGGTTTTCAGTTGCCAACTAGTAAGCAATCGCAACGGTTTGATATTATTATCCCGCGCTCAGTTGAAAATTTTGAAATGACCGTTTTGGTGTCTTGTGTGTGTTGAAATATATTAGTAAATTGAGAAAATTAGTAAAAAAAATAAACTTAAAAGACAAACAAACCGAATCTTAAATTCCAAATATATTTACCTGGTGATAAACCCACAAAAATGGAAACCACAATTGTGACCACAACGACAACCGAACTGAATTGCATTATTCGCGGCAGCAAAAAGAAAGATGTAAGCTGGGCTCCAAACTCCAAAAATCTAAAGTGTGCATTATAGGAAAACAAACAAATAGCTAAACTACGTCAACGGCTAATTAATGAATGTTACATCCTGTTTATTGATGGCAATTCACTAAATTTTCTGTTTACTGACAATTACCTCAGCGTTTTCATTAGCTAGAATCAGGAAAAGTTTCATGGAGTGTTTGTTCGAAAATATTTAACAAGTTACAATGTCATGCTTTAGAGCTGCAGCATATTTCTTATTTCAAGTGATATTTAATAGAACATTGAGAAGTATATTAATTTTTTTTTCTTCAACTAAACCTTCATTTAAAAATCCAGAAAATTTGCAATATATTTTCTGGTGTAGTTCACAATGTAGCTGACCAACAACTATTTGACAATTATGAAATTCAAGCAAACAGCCAACCCCAAACAACATTTACTCACTTGTATAATTATTTACAAATAGGTAGCGAAAGCAATTCTAAATAACCTTTTAAGTGACTCCTAGGAGCGTGAGTTAAAAGTTTTTAAAAGGTATTATTTTGCAAAACGCAAGTGCTTAAATGTACTTACCATTTGACATTTTACTAAGTATTTATATTTAAAATAAATCATATGGAATAGTGGGTATATGTATGTGTCTAGTTTTTGTTGAAAAACAAACTATGTTGGCTAAAAAATATTGAATTAAAATTAAACTGTTAACTTTTATTAACTGAAAATATTCAATTAAGGAAGTAATAAAACTACATAATAGCTTTCTTAGTGCATTTATGGACTCAGAATGAAAAAAAAGATTGCGCGAATTGTAAACAAAACGTCATCAAATTGGATAAAATACCTGCACTTGCACTTGCCCTCCCACACTTGTTGATGTTGTTGTTGTTGTTGTTTTTATGCATTAGATTTAGAAGCTGGATAAACAAATTAAAGTCAAGCCCCCTTTGCAGTTGTTGTTGCTGTTTGCTTATGGGGTTATAAGTGATCGGTTGTTGTTATTGCATTTATGCAATGCTCGTTTGTTAGTTGTTTACACGCGAAATCGAAACCAAAACCCGCAGTTCGAAAAAACAACAGCAACTGAAATAGCAGGAACCACAGAAAAGATAATAATAAGATCAGCAAACAAATCAATTTTCGACTGCAGTTGCTGTTGGCTAAATATAAAACGAAAACTGCCAGTTGCCAATGTCTGTTCATAAGGCGGAAGAATCTGTGAAACATACTCTATATGTATAGATATCTGTTCTTGTCCTCAATTCAAATTAGTTTTGAGCCGATGCGGCAGCTAATCTATAAGGTTTCTGTTTTAAACATTTTCTTAATTTTCTTGGCAAATCTCTTGCAGATCGATGGTCAACTGGTTGCGGATAGCACGGACGCATCACACCAATTTCCGTCCAACGAGGAGCCCAATATTCTGGGGCATGGACCCAACTACGACGAGAAGTTGTCCAAATTCAAATGGCTCTGCAATTTCGATGATGTGAGTTAACCCACGCGATCTTGGGGGTCAATTTGGTGGCAATTGTCGCGCAGTGAATTTTAATTGATCGCAAATTGTATTTGGCGAATTGACAAAACGGCACAATCAGGGGCAAATACGACTACAGGTTATACAAAAAATCAAATCATTCAATTACCTTTGCTTTACCCTTGCTTATACATGGTTTCAACTCTGGCTCTGGCTTATTGTTATGGTTATATGTATACCCCAATAATAACCGATCGCTCGTTGTAAAATGGCCAAAACGTTAAAATATGTGAAATCCAAGAGTTGGCAACCATTGCAAAATAATACAATTAGACAAACCCAACCAAATGCCAACTGAATCAAGGTCGGGCAGCAACAAATAAAAGCTCTACGAACAGCGAGCATTAAATATTTAAATAGCGGTGGCAAATAAAAAGAAGCTACTGTTGTTCGGAGGTGTAGGTTACAAGACTGTGAAATTCCCCAAGGTAACTCCCGAATCGCTTTGTTTGCATTCGAAGTGCAACGGATTATGAATCGAATTTTTGGGATTTTTGAAAAATATTTTACTCTTAGCTGCTAGCGAAACCAATAACTTTATTTTGAACAAGTTCCCAAGCAATTTAAAACGAGATTTGTTGCTTCCGATTTAGAGCCATTAAATAATTTATTAAAATGTTATTTTTTTTAAGAGGAGAAATTAATACTTTTTATCCTAAAAAAATATAAGAAACGGTAGTCAAAAATTAAAAAAATAAACAAATAAAATATTTATGAACAGCGTTTTTTACATTTGAAACATTTCTTTCAAGATTGCTAACTAGAAGAATTGGATTAATTAGTTTTATTTATTTTTAATTGAAACAAGTGAAAAGCTTTTTCGTTATAGATTGGGCGGGATGCCAGAGCCAAAAGGTTTCCTCCATTTGTTTCGGCCTTTCTATTTTATTTCGTCTTCATTGTTTTGTTTTCAATGCTGCGCATTCGATTTGCATGTCTTATCGACTTGGAAAAATGTATTTATTTGGAATGTTTATTCAATTGTTTTTTCGATGCAGGCCCCCAGTCACCTAAAGTTCAACCCTTACATCCGACGCGGCTATCGCACATTCCTATCCAACAAGTTGTGCCTGCAGAGCATTTTCTGGTGGACCAATGAGACGGTAAGATCATGGATAATCTTATTTCTAATCCTTGTGTCAATCAAATTTGGCCTTTTTAAAAAAGACTTTGAAAAAAGTCTTAAAAATATTTTTTTTTAAGTACATTTTCTTTAAAATACAGTTAAATCCTTTTTGTGTTTTAATAATTCGATCCTATAATTTTAAATGATTATTGTTGACAATCTGATATAATTTTATTATTTAAACTTAAATTAAAGTAATCAAATTCAGAAATAAAATAAGACCATATTTTGGTCAACTATTTTGAAACAACTTTTTTGGAGTTACATATATTTACATTGTACTTATGGTTAAATTCAAATAATTTAATGGTTTTTATATTTCTAGATTAACATCTGGAGCCATCTGGCCGGGTGCATCCTGTTTATCGGCCTGACGATCTTCGACCTGCAATTTTTGCGAATCCACGCCTCTTTGACCGATCAGGTCCTGGTCGTCTGTCTGCTGGTCTGCTTCTGCCTCTGCATGCTGATGTCCGCCATATACCACATATTCTCCTGCAAATCGGAGGAGCACTATGAGCTCTTCCTATCGGTTGACTTCCTGGGCATCTCGCTGTCCCTGGTGGCCATCTACATCAGTGGAATGTACTATGCCTTCTGGTGCCACACCTTCCTGCGCACCCTGTACTCCACGATCGCCTTGGGTATGTTCGCCCTGGCAATCGCTGTCCAGATTCCCCGCTTCAATGTCTCCATGAACGCCAAGGTGGCGGTGCTGCTGCTGTGGTCCGCCTACGGAATCATCCCTCTGGGTCACTGGGCGGTGGCGATGGGCGGTTTGGAGAACGAGCTAGTCAGGGTAGGTACTACGAAAAATTTAGGAACTAATGTCCATAATTTTTATAGACTTTACAAAATATTTAAGGAAAAGTGTAAATATTATTTTCCTAAGTTTCATAAAAGGTTTTTATCTTCAGTATAGAAAACATTTAATTTTTAATGCAAAATAAAAGGAAATATGTCGAATGATTTTTTTGTAATTTTAATAATAATATTTTATAATATTAATAATCACAAGTTTTAAAATGCCCATTTTTAATCGGATATTATTAGAAATATTGAACATAGATGATTTGGATTTTGTGTGAAGTTTATTTATTTATTTCAATTAATGTATTTATGTATGTATTTATAAATCCATTTATTATTGATTAAACATACCATTGTAAATAATATTTTCCTATAATTCATAAAATATTTTTTGTCTTTGTTTAACATTGTAATTCTTATTACCTATAATTAGAAATTCAGTAAAAATTGAGTTTTAATAAGAAAAGAGAAGAAAAAATGTCTTAAGATTTTATTTTAAAGTTTCAAAGATGCAAGCAATTATTATATATAGAATAAAAATTTTTAATATCCGTATATAGAATATAAATAATTTGGATTTCCCGTGCAGCTAATTTATAATTAAAACATTTTTTAATAAATTCATTTAATATTGAGTAAACTTACCATTTCCTATTTTTTTACAGCTGATGGTGCCTCGCATTGTGGTCATGTACTTGCTCTGCCTCATCGCGTTCGTTTTCTACGCGACCAAAATCCCGGAGCGCTGGTTCACCGGAAAAGTAGACTTTGTGGGTCACTCGCACAACTGGTGGCACCTGATCATTGTGGCGGCCTTCTATCACTGGCACAATACCGGATTGGTCTATGCCGAATATCGTCTGAATAATGGCTGCAGTGCTCCCGTCCTCGCCTGAGATTTGATTTTTGAGAGCGTTAATCTAAGATCCCAGATCCGAGGAGCGGGAATGGATGCAAAAACGGAACCGGGACATAGTGTACATAGTTTATGGGGCGCTCTTTTTCCGCTATTAACTAATATTTAGTTGTAGTTGTTGACCGATATGATTAATTTATGTGTAATTTACCGATTAGTTAGGTGTTCGTGTTAGTCTATCCAAACAGTTGATTTAACACGAGCGGAAGGAAGGTTTCTCTCTTTATTTCCTAGTTCATTTCGTTTTAATATACAATGTTTATGAAAATGCATGTTTAAGCTGAAGCTGTGTTAGTCTAGTTGACTCGATTTTTACAAATACTTTAAATGCAAATACAATATTAAAAGTACAAAAGATTCTTAACCGTATACTTATTGGAATTTTTTTATGCACGGTGGGTACCTCTAATGAATCCATACATTTTTTGTTTTCTGTCAGACTTGAAATCATTTATAATATAATTTATAATATAATTTATAACTGTAATTTAAAAACTTTAAATTCTTATGTATTTTCTTGCTAGATACACAATGGATTAAATAATTGATTAGTAGGGATTTAATCCGAGCTATTTTTAAACAACCGGCTTTGTTTTGCACTGCAAGTAGTAATTTTGATTACGTGCGTGCGATGCCATATGTTATACTAATTATTTAGGGAAAAAGTTTTATTTGTAATATGTAAGACAATAGATAGCTGTGTAGTGGAGGAAAATAAACAATAAAATATAGACCCTTTATAAATTTAAACTCTGAATTTTTAATAGGTAAAGTTCGAGTGTGACTTTGACAAATAATATTTTCATAATTTACCAACATGCAGCCTGATGTACTGACACTTTCAAATTTGCCACTATTTTAATTTGTTTATTTTTTACAGTGAGTACATGTAATTTGTTACATTATATTTTATTTATTTTTTGTGATATTAACATAAATATTACATTAACATTATATTAACAGAATTCTGTTCAATTCTGTAATGGATAAACATTTTATAAAAAGCAAATACTTGCACCATAAATAGCGAATAATTTCTCCATATTAAGCGAAGACACAATCCACAAATAGCAAATACTTAATACTTTGCGGATACCTAACAGAGATGACTCATTTATCAATATTTAGTGAACATTAATATTATCAACGTTTTGAAAACAACGATGTCTCTAGTTAGGAAATTTAAATTTTTGTTGTGAACAACGTTGCATTTTAACATTTCTTTTGGGAAAACGCTGGGAACCTGAACCAGGAATCAGTATTGAAAATAGCCATTTGGTCAAATTTTCTCTCTGAGATTGAGAGAACTCAGAAGATCTCTCTCTTTCTGTTAGTTCGCAAATTCACCTCGCCAGGCTTAGATGTGGGGAAATATCTATGTTGGCATCGACATTTCCTCACCTCTTGCGGTGAATTTACGTGCTTGTGGTGGGTTTGTGTTTTGCAGTGAAATGTTAGCGGAACGTCGAACTAACAGCGAAATGTTAGCCAATCGTCGAACTAACAGCGAAGGTTGGCGAAACGTCGAACTAACGAAAGAGAGAGAGATGGATGGATAAACACCGATAATCTCTGCCAAACATCGATAGGACCGATATTTTGAAAACATCGATATCATCCCACCTCCAACGCTCGGCTTAAACCTGTTCTTCGTGGGTTTGTCGTTTATTCTTCGTTGGTTGTCGTTTTTATTCAAAAAAAAACGGTCGAGCTTGGCGCACGTTGCGGTTCCTCCGACTGGTGTGTACTCCCCCCTGTGTCTCGCGGCCCTGTGGAAAATCTATACTGTGCATAAGATATAACTCTGAAATAGGTGCAAGCCATTTCGTTATTGATTTACCAACGCGCTGCGTTCGTTTGTGCCAATTCAAATACATATTTTCCCTGACCGCCCCCGCCGAACTGCTCTGCACATTGCATAATTTCTGTGGCGGTCATTAATTCCTGCAGACCGACTTTCCAAGAACTACGCAGAGACCGAAAAAAGCTGCGAGAAGAAACTATAAAAAAAGTGCCGCAGCAGCGGATTGGGAATATGTGCATAATAATTAAACACAGCGGAACGGAGAAAAAATAATACACAATAAGCGCAGCTTTGCTTCATCTGTGTTGTGCTTGGCGATTCCTCGGTGGTCTGTTTTCGCTTGTTGTTCTATGTGACATAACGGTTTTGGCCAGCGCGAGCGAGAGGGCGACAGAGGCTTAATTGTGCAAAGAAAAAAAAAACGGGAAGCTCAGATAACCTTGCAAAAACAAAGAACAGCAAAGCCCGCATCTTTTCAGCTTATCTGTGAATTAATATTTTCTTTCCGAGGATGGCGGCTAACTGTTGTTTGCCTTTGAATTGCAGATCTTAATCGTAGAGCAGCACTCACACTTGCACACGCCCCCGCGAAATAACACACACACCAACACACTGCCAGCAGAGATCGAGATTCCAAACAAGTGTTGTTGCCGCTGCCCATTGCCGTTCTTGTTGTTGTACGTCCGCTAAAATGCTGAACGCCGCAGCGCTTTTATTGGCGCTGCTCTGCGCCGCAAATGCAGCCGCCGCCGACGATTTGGCGGACAAATTACGCGATGACTCGGAACTCTCTCAGGTGAGTCAGAAGTAGAAGAGGAGGAGAAAGAGGTGGTAGAAGAAAGCAGTAGCAGCAGAAACAGTTTGTGCAAACAATGAAACCCAGCTCCCAAGCACCACCCCCGCTCACCTTGACTTATCCTGCGGTACAGTCGACCCTGCCTACAACGATTTGTTAATAGATGCAACAAATGCATATGTTCAAAGTAATTAATCGCATCTTGGCATAGATGGAACTTTTTGAACAAGAACCTATCTTTTAACACTTACCAAAGTCATTTTTAAACGAGATCAGAAAACGGGCCTACAAATGTTCGATTTTCTGAAAATCAACTTTTTTGACGATATTTCCTTGATTGTTAGATTATTATTGTTCAGAAGGAAAAAATACATTAGCACTGTTGTGCTGGTTTGTTGCTGTTGGTTTTTTAGATCGTAAAAACATTTTTAAAAATGAAAAGTTACAGTATTCGTGTGACTATAGTTAAGCTCTGTTCAAAAATATCTCTCAAAAGGTTTAAGCCGTTCGTTTTTTTTAAATAATAGGCAAAATATGAACTTATCTAATTATGTCTGACCGATTTTTTAAATTTTATCATTTTAATCAAAAACTGATGATTGTATCAGCCTTGTATTCAGATGTAAGAACATGCCAAAGTGCTATCAAAGTTTGGCTGTAATTGTGCTACCTTCCACCAAAGTCGCCACATTTCGCTGGCCTTGAAAGGAAAAGCCTTGACAGCGCGTGCGAGGGAGACGGGGTGAACCGGAAAAAGGAGCCTGCGCAAGAGGGACGGACAGATGGCTTAGGCACCCGCATTTGGGCACAGGTAGCTTAGTTCCGGCAGCATCGTCCTTGACCTTTAGCCATCTCACTTGTTGTTGGGTATGTGGAAAATCGATGATGCTGCCTGAAATCGCTTGTGGAAAGTCCAACCGACCACTGAACTCCACTTGGTCACAATTCGTATGCATGGCGGAGTGTGTTATGTAAAAATAAAAAGCCACATACATAAATTAAGCAGAAGTCGGAGCCCAGCAGGCAAATGCCGGCCGTTGACGTCCACTGAGCATAACAGTTTTATATTTAGTTTTGCCTTTTTACACCTTCACAGGCCAACTCACACACAAAAAAAAGTACATAGAAAAACACATTAAAATGTTAAAAAGTCTGAAGCCAACAAAGGTACGCGGCTGAAATAACAAGAACAACATGTGTAATGAACACAGTGGCGGGGGTTCAGTCAGCACAAGGGCTAACAATTGTACACCATGAAAAAAGATCAAACAATATAGTCTATTAGTAATACTTTGGACTAATTTGTTGTGCCAAACAAAAAATGGAATTAGTAGATTGTCCGTACTTGTTTTTGGACCCTTTGGGAAAAACCCTCCTAAGCCACTGCCTAATTTTCTAGTCTGTTTAGCATTTAACGCCCAAAATACATATGTACGTGTTGAGTGAGCAAAAAATTAAATAGTATTCCAAGTAAAAAGAAAGCGTGCGACAGAAGGCAAGAAAAACACGACTGTAATTGTTGCAGCAAGTGTCTATGAACTGGGGTCTCAGGGAAGTAGTTGCATCCACCAACCTTTTCGAGCCGCTCTAGACGAAACAGAGCGTACAGCGAAATAAAAAAAAATATATAAACTGGGAAGGGGGATTTCGGATTGCTCATTTGCACCCTTTGCTTTGGAGTATTGTTAGTTCGTCCAGAAGTTTGCCACTTTCAGAGGAGAGAATTTCCGGCCTCATATAGTGTTCTGTTTACATGAGGGTTGGTCGGTTTGGCCGGTTCATAAAAACGTAGGGGCGGAAAGTAATCTTCGGTCACTTATGTAAATTTAATGCCGTAAAACTGAAGGATTAAAGTCAACTCTTAGCAATTGCATTTCCAAGTTGTTTTCTTATTCAGTCAAAATTGATCAACTGGAAAGATATTTATTTTTTTTTTGTAAAAAATATCTAGGCTTTTTAATGTGCTGTTTTTTTAATTTTATATTAATCCTTCTGTGAAGCTAGTAAAAAAAACTTGTTAAAGTTTATAAAGATACATTTTGTCGCAAGGGTATTCCAATCTCCAGAAGTTGAAGTCTTACTTATTTTCTCATTATGCCAGCACTTCTTATTATGGGTTAGATAAATATAGGTTGGCTGTTTCTTGGTTTGCGGCTTACTGCTTGTGGTTTTGCTTGGCAAATCACCGGGGATCTGGCGAGAGTTTTAAAGTAATCTAGTACCCTGCTAGTCCCAGTAATTTACTCAGGCTATATTAAGCTCACTGGCGAAACTCAACAGATCAGAGCCGAGCATTTTTTAGTCTTTAAAAGTGAAATTTCAGCCGAAATTAATTAACATACACTACACTATGTTCATGCTTGCGTATACACGATGATAAGCAACTACTGTGCGGGTCCGAGGAACGAGCTGACCTCCTGCGACTGACCCCCACTTCCTGTCGTGCGTCAACGTCTTCTGCCTTTTATTAATTTTAATTTTTAACCTTTGACTGATGCAATTGCAGTCGGCCGAGTGGGAGTGTGGACAGCCCGAGTTGTCAACTGCTGGCTGAAACGCTGTCTAGGAACACACACTGTACCGAACAGTCCACACTCTCACTTGCAGCATCATCGAATTCAATTAAATTTAATTTAAGAATTCAATGCGATGCCAAGGCGCGTTATTTGATATGCGACGAGCTCCATTACAGGCGAGAGGCGGTGAATGAGCCACGACTGACCTTAATGGATCCACATGCTCATAGACGGATCTC